TGGCTTTCGCAGCATCACTCCAGTCTCTGCCTCCACGGTCACATGGCTTCCTTCTGTGTGTGTTTGTCCCCCTTCTGTTGCCTATACGAACACATCATCAGACTTAGGACTCACTGAGTTCATCTAGGACAGTGGTCGGCAAACTGCGGCTCGCCAGCCACATGCGGCTCCTTGGGTTTTCCGCAAAATACCGCACGTACAGTGTGATTGAAACTTCTCGGCCCATGCGCAGAAGTCGGTTTTCGGCTCTCAAAAGAAATTTCAATCGTTGTACTGTTGATATTTGGCTCTGTTTGGCTAATGAATTTGCCCACCACTGATCTAGGATATCATCATTTCAAGATCCTTAACTTAATCACACCTACAGAGACCCCTTTTCCCCCAAATAAAGTCACATTCACAGGTACCGAGGTTACCTGTATACATATGGGGGCTACTATTCAACCCACTCCAGGGACCTAGAAGATGCCTGATATGACAGGGCAGCAGAATATGACCTTGTAAAGGCAGAAGCAGGGACCATGAAGGGCTTTGGACTGAGGAGTCGGTGCTGTATGTGGAAGTGAATGGGGAAACTTAAATGTTGAACAGGGGAGAGAGGGTTGGAATTGTCCTCATAAGCGCTGGTGAGGGTAGAGAGGAGGATGAGGAGTGGGGACAGTTGGGGGTGTGGGAGATGAGGAGCAGGAAGAGGGAAGAATTTGAAATGTCGCCCGGTTTCCCACACGAGTGATGTGGCATCGAAGGCGGAGATGTTCAGGTACCAATTAGAGAGACGGATCTGCCACCAGACCCCGCCCAGGAATGTAAGTTGGATTTGGGAGAGAGAGCAAAGTAGGAGTGACGGGAGCCCGGGGATCACCAGTTTCCCCCACTGCCTTTTCTGAATGATTCCAAACATACTTAAACGCTTGAAGAATTGTATAGCGAACACCCACATGCCCTCATCCGGAGTCTGTAATTACCGTTTTTTCTATACTTGCTTTATCACACACCCATCCCTTCCTCTGAACATCACCAACCCATCTTCCTTTGCATGTGCTTCAGAATAACTTGCTGACACCCGTGCATTTTACTTCAACACATAAGCCTGCATATCATCAGCTGGAGTTCAGTATTTAGTGAAATGTACAACTCTTAAGGGTACTGGTTGATGAATGAATCCACCTGTGTACCCCAAGTCTCTGTCAAGGTACAGAACATTGCCCTAGCTGGTTTGGCTCAGTGGATAGAGCATTGGTCTGCTGACTGGAAGGTCCCGAGTTCGATTCCATGCTCGGGTTTCGGGCTTGACCCCCAGTAGGATGCGTGCATAGGCAGCTGATCAATGATTCTCTCTCATCATTGATATTTCTATCTCTCTCTCTCCCTCTCCCTTCCTCTCTGAAATCAATAAAAAAAATATTTTTAAAGATACAGAACATGTCCATCACCCCAGAAAGTTCCCTGTGCCCCCACTCCCAGAGGCAACCACTATTTTTACTCTTTTTCAACCATAGATTAGTTTTGTCTGCTCTTTTGTGTCTGACTTCTTTTGCTTAGTGTGAGAGTCTGTAAGAGTCATTTCTGTTGCATGTATCAGCAGCCTGTCTCATTTGCTGAGCACTATTCTATTGTAAGGATATATAAGGAATACCAATTTTTAAAATACGTTTTTATTGATTTTATAGAGAGAGAAGAAGGGTGAGGGAGAGAGAACCATTGATTGGCTGCCTCTTACATGTCCCCTACTGGGGATTGAGCCCAAAACCCTGGCATGTGCCCTGACCAGGAATTCAGCTGGAGACCTTTTAGTGTATGGGATAACGCTCAACCAACTGAGCCACCCCGGCCAGGGCAGGAGTACCAATTTTGAAAGGGTGGGCAAAGGGTCTTCGAAGGAAAAGTGAAGGCAGTAGGAAAACCATCTGGATCAGTTACAATTAGGTTTGCCTGCAGAGAACATCAAAATTAAGTGGCAGTGGCTTAGATAATGGGCTCTTTTCCCCTCTCATGTAAAATAGGCCCTGACACCGAAGCCGGTTTGGCTCAGTGGTAGAGGGTCAGTCTGCGGACTGAAAGGTCCCGGGTTCTATTCCGGTCAAGGGCCACCTTGGTTGCGGGCACATCCCCGGTAGGAGGTGTGCAAGAGGCAGCTGGTCGATGTTACCCTCTCATCAACGTTTCTAGCTCTCTATCTCTCTCCCTTCCTCTCTGTAAAAAATCAATAAAATATATCTTTAAAAAAATAATAATAAATTAGGCCCTGAGGTGGACAGTCCTGGGGGGAAATGGTGGCTCGTTGTGCCTTCGTGGGCCCAGGCTCCCAGCTTTCTGTTCAGCTGTGCTCAGTGCTGGCTTCTGTCACCTCATGGTCTAACACGCTTTCCAAACTAACAACAGAAGGAGGAAGAATGAAGAGGACCACAAACAAACAAACAAACAAAACATAGCTTTCAGCCAAAACAACCTCTCTTAGCAGCCTTTCTCAACGCTCTCCCATCTCCTTAGCCAGAACTCGGTCACGTGGCCCGTCCCAGTAGGAAAAGCAGTCTTGTCGCGAGCCCCTGGGCTCCCGGCCACCCTAAAGACAACGGCACTGACGTTCCCGGGAGGGGGTGGGTGCTGGTTGTCATCAGCCGCCTGTGCCTTCTTTCTCTTGAGACCTGGTGGCCACGCCATGGTCCACTCCGCGTTCCCATTAGGGGCGCTCAGAGGGAAGAGTTGGCATCTGGAGGTAAACAGATAGACCTGGGTTCAGATCCTTTCTGGGCCCGTCCCTCTGTGATCTTGTCTGTGAGGTGGGGATGGAAGAGCAGCCTCGCAGCTGTGGCTGGGAGAGGAGAAGAGCAGGAGGTGCAGGCGTGCACATGGCGGGGGGGGGGGGGGGGGGGGGGAGAGGGAGGCGGGATGGCAGAGAGGAGAGCCACGCCACCTTCTCTATTGCCCTCCCTACCTCTGCCCGGGGGCAAGGTCCTGAGAGTCAGGGAGCTGGTCCTGTGACCCCTGGGCATTGGTCAGCGGGTAGGATAGGAGGGCCGGTGTGGCCCGCTGGAGTCTGAGCTGCTGGCCAGGCCAGGGTTCACCATCACTAACCCTCCTGGCCTCGACTGCAGGAGTGACAGGGCAGCCCGGAGAGATGACCGGTGAGCGTGCTGTTTCATTCCCTCCCTCTGCTTTTCCAACGTGAGTGGGTCTCCGCAGCCAGCCAGCCAGCCCCCTCGAGGCACCAGACTCGGGCAGGCCGGCTGCTGTGGCTGCTCTGTGTCCCTCCTCACCCCTGGCGCTAGCAGCGTTGGCTTGCTGCCTCAGCCACAGGCCCCGCGTCCTCCGGGCGGTGGAGCTGTCTCCCGGTACGTGGCCTTCACACCGCGCAGCGGCCGGGTCACCAGGTCCTGTGCTCTGCACACGCGTGCCTGTGCTGGGAAAACAGGGACAGCCATGTCCCTTGACAGCTTAATGGGCTGTCAGCGCAGGGGCCGGAGAGGAAGTCGGCAGGGACAGGTGCAGCCAGGCTGGAAAGCTCTCGGCTGCCAAGGGGCCAGATTGCACGGAGGGCGGCTGTGGCCGGGCGCCTGGTGACCTGTTGACACCATTCTCAGGCTGCCGGCCGCCCCGGGGCTGGTGTCAGGACCGAGGAAGAGGAGGGGGACCCCGGGGAGAACTTGGCTCAGGCCTCACACCCGAGATGGGGCAGTGCGTGCCTCTGCTCACTCGTTCTCTTCGCACACCTTTCCTGAGGTCCTGCTGGTGCTGGCCCGTGGGCGCTGGGCACACAGCGGCGACGAGACACCCAGTCCTGCCCCAGGGGGTCTCCGCAGCCAGCCAGCCCCCTCGCGGCACCAGACTCGGGCAGGCCGGCTGCTGTGGCTGCTCTGTGTCCCTCCTCAACCCTGGCACTAGCAGCGTTGGCTCGTTGCCTCAGCCACAGGCCCCGTGTCCTCCAGGCGGTGGAGCTGTCTCCCGGTACGTGGCCTTCACACAGCGCAGCGGCCGGGACACATGGGCGGGACTCACGGGCCACTCGGAGGCCCTGAGCTGTGGGAGCTCTGAGCTGGGGCGCCAGGGAGCACGTCCCGGCAGAAGTAACATCCGAGCAGATGATGGGACAGGCCCAGCCAGAAGCTGGGAAGCAGGGGACGTGGGAGGGCCCCTCACTCTGCTGCAGGAGAGACCCCCCACTGGTCTGCCTTTCTGAGGTGCAGGAGAGACCCCCTCTGGTGGGGTTTGACCGGGCGGGGGTGTCTGTGCGTGGGTCCTGGAGCCTAAGTGGTGCTGGCAGCCAGGGGGGTTCCAGCTCGACTCCCCTCGTCTTTTCTTCCCTCCTTCTCCCGAGGAAGCCCGCATTGAAATTACAGAAAAGCTGGCTTTTAGGAGCCTGCGCCCCATCGGGTCCCTGCCAGGCCTGGGCGCCGCCTTCTCGCCCACGCTCTGCCAGCCTCGGGCCCGGTCCTGCACGGAGGCCTTGTTCAGAGGGGTGAGGGCTCCCCGGGGTGCCATTCCTCACCGCCCCACCCCAAAACCTGCCCCGAGCCCCCTCTCCCTGGGATCTGGCTCAGCACACAAATGGTACCTCAGGAGGAGGGGCCCAGGAAGTGACATCGCTCGGCCCGCCCCCACCTCCTTATTCCCTATAAAAAGCAGAATGGTGACTCAGAGGGGAGAGTTGGAAGCGTCCAGCCTCCCGCTCCCACCGTCAATACTTAAGACTCGGAATCAGGCAGGAGGCGAAGGAAACGGCGGCTTGAAAATACGCAAACATGCAGCTGACGTGCTATTATTAAGCAGGTGGCACCGGCGGCACCGCTCCTCCCCGGCTCCCAGCAGCCGCCCCTGAACGGCGGGCGCTGCCCAGCCCCTGCGAGGGTCCGGCCGCCTGCAGCCCCTGCCGGCCGGCCGGGCCGTGGATGCGGCGGCCGGGAGCATGGCAGCCGGGGGCCGCCGCCGGCGCCCACTGCGCTACCAGTCGCTGGCAGCCCTGGTGGAGGACTCTCAGTGGCCTTTCTTGTTCCTTGTCTCAGACTTCAGCTACGGGGCGGACGACTACGACGCGGAGGGGAATGAGGAGCAGAAGGGGCCCCCCGAGGGCTCGGAGACCATGCCGTACATCGACGAGTCGCCCACCATGTCGCCCCAGCTCAGCGCCCGCAGCCAGGGCGGCGGGGACAGCGTCTCCCCCACCCCCCCGGAGGGGCTGGCACCCGGGGTAGGTACACCTGTTTCTCCTTCTGGGTTTGGGGAGAGAGGGCTGTGGGGGGTGGGGGGAGGCAGGCCTGGTGTCCCGGGCCGGCCAGGCTCTGCTTGGAATGCTCCTGGGGACCCTGGCGCTGGCTGTTTTCGGTGGCCTCGTCATCTCCTTCCAGCCCTGGATGCCGTGTAGTCTGGGCTCCCCTCCCTCCCCCAGCACCTGCCGCTCCCTCTGCCGCCTCTCCCCGCCATCTGCTCCCGCCTGCTGGACGGCCTCCCCCCTCCAGCTCCCCCCTCGGCACCTCCAGCCGGACAGGACGGACAGGACGGGGCCTGGGGAGGGCGCCGGCTCCTCGCTCCGGGCCGGGGCCGGTGCCGGGCAGGGGCCGCTGTGCCCTGCGGCTGTCAGGGTGCACGTGCCCGCTCAGCAGACCACGGCTGGCTCGGTGCTCGCTGCGGGGCGGAGTGAGCGGGTTCAGGGGCATTCCCCCGGGCCCAGGGCCCCAGCCAGCCCTCTGGGAGGGAAGGAGCCCTCACGGTGTCCACCTCAGCCCTCGCCGGCTGGCTGCTGGCGGGAGCTCTGCTCCCAGGAGAGGCGGGTGCAGGGGATGTTAAGTCTGTGCTGTGAGGTGCTTGGAGGTGTGCAGTCCTGGTCATTAGTGCTGTTCCTGGCCACAGGCTCCGGCTCTCCCCGGGCCCAGCTGGTGCGCGTGCGTGCATCTGAGACGAACAGGCAGAGCAAAGGAGACGGAACTCCTGGGGGCTGGTGGAATTCTGAGGTTGGGGAGCATCAGAGCCGCTCCTCCATGCGGGGGCTCTTGGAGTGTCTGGTCCTGCTGAGGAGAGGGCTTCTCAGCTGTGTTAGGGGGGGTCCCCTTTCTTCTCTCCAGTGTCCCCAAGGAACAGTCGCTGAGACGCTGTGAGATACTTGTTCCCCTCCTGCAGAGCCCAGCACCCCTCACCCACCCTGCAGCCGGCCAGGGGGGGCTACCTGGCCTCTGCCATTTCTTGAGACACCCTCCCCCCCCCCCCCCCCGCTTCCTTTCCTCCCAGCCTCCCTTGGCCACCCTGCACCCCTTTGCCAGCTCACCCCCCTCTTCACACACCGGGGTGGCTGTTATAGCCTTTGGCAACAAGGGCCTTGGCAACGGACTTCCCACTTGGGGGAAGCCACGTCGTTGCCATGGCAACGGAGGCCTAGCTCCGTGGCTGCCAGGCAGTGCAAGTTTGGGAAGGGAAGGGTGGGGGCATGTGGAAGGCGGAGGGGACGGGGAGGGTGGTGGTCAGTCCAGGCCCCCCATGGCCAGTCTTAGGAAGGGTGTAGGTGAGAGACAGCCATGGTGGCCACAGAGGGCAGGATTTTTGCTGCCGGTGGGAGAGAGAGGATATTCTGGGACCTGAATGGAGGACAACCCGGAAAGCCAGAGGGAGACTGGCTTTCCTTCGCTGCCTTTAGGTCTCACCACAACAGGGTTCAGAGACACTCCCTCTCCCCCCGGGGGACTCAGCTGTTACCCCCGTGAGCAGGTGCGGGGAGGGTTGCTGTGGGCCACAGCACAGGGCCAGGAATGCCGGCAGAGTGGAGAACGTGTAGCCAAATAGAGCCACTTGCTGAAGAGGAAACGTGTCTTTGCCACTTCCTTCTCCCCTCCATGCTTCTTCCTTCCTGTCCTGGTTGCTTCCCTCATCACGTGACCGCCTTGTAGGAGTGCTTGTCCATCACGTTTTAGATTCCCTGGCGACAGGTCACAGGACCGTGAAGGAGTCACCGGCATCGTGGGAGGGGCCCCTGCCTGGAGCTCTGAGGCCTCCGGCAGTGACTTCCTTGTGGTCGCCCGTTTTGCTCAGTGGCTCACGAGGGAATAACTCGGTTTGAGGACTTTGACATCCAGAGATGTTACGGTGACAGCTGACTGCAGTGCTTGGGAACCAGAGGGCGGAGGTGAACTCCATCGGCTGGAAGTCATGCAGGACAGGGGCGGGAGCATCTGTCTAGCGTGGGGAGCTAATCGGAGATTCCAGCGCAGTGCACCTCCGGCCTCCCACCTTCCCTCCTGGAGTTGCGTTTGTTGTCCTTTCTACTGTGTCACTGGCCCCACCTAGTGGACTCAGCAAGGATTGCTGTTTACATTGCGGTGCTGGAGAGGGTTGACAACCTCTTCCTGTGTACTTTGGGGAGCAGTTCAAGTTCTTTTAAAAAAGGAAGAAGACAAGGAGGAAGCAGAAGAGGGAAAAGAGAAGAAGAAAGCAAGCCAAGGTTCCTGCTACTTGGCTCAGCTCATCTGGCCAGGCAGGTCCCCTCCCGGCCAGGCTTCGGTGGGGGCCTTGGGAACCCAGGGGACTTTTAGACCAAATCAGATGATCGTTCCAGCCTCTGGCAGCGGGGCATTCCACCCCTAAATATGCCGTCACCTTGTGCCTGGAAACCCAAAGTTTGGTCTTTGTGATCATCAGGATTCTCCAGAGAAACAGAACCAATAGGATACAAGAAAGAGAGAGAGATTTTTATTATAAGGAACTAGAGGCCCAGTGCATGACACTCGTGCATTGGAGTGAGGGGTCCCTCAGCCTGGCCTGCGCCCTCTCACAGTCTGGGACCCCTTGGGGATGCCTGCCTAAGCCTGCTCCTCAGCCAGACATTCCTCTCAAAGTCTGGGGCTCTCACAACGTGGGACCCCTTGCTCCTTGCCTCCCGCCACCATGGCTGTGCTTGCCAGCCCTGAGCCCCACTTCTGGCTGGGCGGCGCTCCCCCTGTGGGAGCACCCTGACCACCAAGGGGCAGCTCCTGTGTGGAGAGTCTGCCCCTGGTGGTCAATGCGCGTCACAGCAACCAGTAGTTCTTACTTTCCGTTGATTTGCATATTAGGGTTTTATTATATAGGATTGGCTCACTCAGTTACGGAGGCTGAGAGGTCATAAGATCTGCAGCCAGCAAACTGGAGACCCAGGAAAGCTGATGTATAGTTCAAGTCTGAGTCTGGAACCAGCAGAGCCAATGGTCTTTGACTAGAAAGCCAGCAGGCTTGAGACTCAAGAGCAGCCGATGTTTCAGTCTGAGTCGGAAGGCTGAAAGAGACCCAGGTCCCAGCTCAACAGTTGGGCAAGATGAGTTCCTGCGTACCCAGCAGCCTTTTAGTTCTATTCAGGTCTTCACCTGATCGGACGAGGCCCACCCACATGAGGAAGGGCAGTTCCCTGTACTCAGCCAATGAGTCAAATGTTAATCCCGTCCAGAAACACCTCACCGATACACGCTGAATAATCTCGTTCACATGTCTGGGTACCATGGCACGGTCAGGCTGACACGTCAAATTAAACATTACAGTTTGGCTCTCCCAACAGCCCCGAGAACGGAAGGAACATGGGCTCTGATAGGGGCACCTCTGCTCTCTAGCGGGGAGACACTGGAGGAGTGTCATAACCCCTCTGAGCCCCAGTTTTCTCTTCTCTAAGTGGGACTAACTGCCTGGCCGCTGTGGCTCAGAGATTGAGCATCTACCTGTGAACCAGGAGGTCATGGTTCAATTCTGGGTCGGGGCGCATGCCTGGGTTGGGGACTCGATCCCCAGTGTGGGGCATGTAAGAGGCAGCTGATTAATGATTCTCTCTCATAATTGCTATCTCTCTCTCTCTCTCTCTCTCTCTCTCTCTCTTTCTCTCTCTCTCTTTCTCTCGCCCTTCCTCTCTGAAATCAATTAAAAAAAATTTTTTTTAATAGACTACCTGAGAGGATAGACTAGGATAGCTCAGGTGAGGCCTGCATCATTGGGGTGCTCAGTCCTTGGTAACTGGGGCCTGCACACTTTTCTCACCGGCTTTTAGAGGAGAGGGAAGCTGGGAACAAAGCAAGGGCCCGGTCTGACGAATGCTTGCTGGACAGACTGAACCTGCTTTAGCAGCCTCCCTCCTGGGGTTAGATCGGTCCTGCCGGGTGGCCAGGTGAAGCCGGGTCTCTGTGGTGGGGGCCGGACACAATACTCTTTGCTCCCAACACCCCCCTGCACCTGGCTCCTCTGCGCAGCTCCCCGCTCCCAGTGTGCGCCTGACACCCCGCCTTGCAGATGCCTCACTCCCCCAGCCCATGCCCAGCAGAGCTTCCTGCAGGGCCAGACCGCTGACGCCTGGTGGTTCAGTTCAACCGAGAGTGAGCCCTGGGGGCTGGGCAGACTCTCCAGCTCAGCTGACAACGGGGGCGGAGGGGGGACACACATCCCTCTGCCAGGACCATGGTCTTACAGAAAAGCTTGCTCCCCGCGCACAAGCTATGGAGTCCTTAGCCTACCCTCCTGGGAGGGGCGGTAAAAAGGGGCCACGGGGGAGAGAGAAGAGCTGGGTGTTGTCTCAGCGCTGCCCCTTTCGGCTGTGTGACCTGAGGGAGGTCGGTCCCCCTCTCTGAAGTGAGGAAACCGAGCATTTCCTCCCTCCTGACCTCACACTGCTATTGCGAGGCTTCCCCGAGACAGAGCGCTTTGTGAATTGTCACGTCCGCATACAACTTAACTAGGGATTGCTCAGTGTCACACTCATTCTGTAGTTCCTGTGATACCCACAGCGGGTCCAGCAGGGTCAAATAAAAGGCTGCACTGAGCGGTTCCGACTCCAAGTGTAGGAAAATCCAAAGATAAGGATCGGGAGTGTCCAAAGGATCACCATCATCGTCCTCATCTCCCTCTCTTCCTCCTCCTCCTCCTCTTCCTCCTCCTCCTCTTCTTCTTCTTCTCCTTCCTACCCCCCTCCTCCTCCTCCTCATCACAAATACTTAGATTTTCGCTGAGCCTTTTACATGGGTGGCCTCATTTGAGGCCAACCACAGCCCTAAACGGTAGGTACAGTGATCATCGTACAGTTGAGGACACTGAGGCTCAGAGAACTGACTTAATTTGCCCAGGACAAGCCAGTGGCCAGACACTTACACCGGGTCTTTCTGACGCTGGCGTCTTTGTGGTGCTGCCGGTCCCTTCAGACACCATCTCCCTTGTGAGCTTCTCAGCCCCTCCCTGAGCCCCTCCCTGTCTGGG